GTTTGGACCTGTTCCTGCTGACTGAACAAGTTTTGCCAACCTCAGAGATGTACAAAGGTATAAACTTAAAACAGGATGCTGCTTCTGGGAAGTTCAACACACGATATTCTGAAAGCAGATTCAAACAAAACCTCAAGAATTTTCTAAAAATAGAGAGGTAAAAAGTTCATAGATCCTGCTACACTTCCATTAAACATAAAGTGAGACAAAATAACAGCTGAAATGATTAATTAAGTGGTTATGTGAGGTGAAACACTGAATATGAACTGTGTAGGTTTTGGTTCTGTTTTATTAAACACTTTGTTTGCTGGAAGCAGAGGGAAAGAGCTTCCAGTCATGAAAGAAAGACTTATTTTGAACCCAAAGAGTTTACAGAAAGACGCCAGCCAGCAGATCGTGACCTGAAGGATTGGAAAGACCCATCTCTGCATAAAGACGAGAATCCAAAGAACAAGAGAAACAGAAGCACGAAGAGGAAGTTCTCCTGAGGCAGAAACTTAAAAAACGTGTTTAAATCAAGACATCACAGAAATACTGAGGAACTGAAATTAAAGGACGACGTCATCGACTTCCACAGGAGACTTGTGCCTAAAGAGGCTCTCACAAACTACGAGTGATCATTAAATAAAGCCTTKAAAAGAGGATTTAGTCTATTCATCTGCATTCAGCTGGTTTTTCATTCGACTGTAGGTAAAAAAAAAAACTTGGCGTCTTTATAAAGCCGACTCCTCCAGCAAAACCTCGGCTCATTTGAATGAGAAAAGTAAATGTTCTGGTTTGAACTTAAGCGATGTTTCCTGCAGCGCTCGTGTAATTTCACTGGTTACAATGGCCTTTTCCACCTAAAAACTGTTACTGTGACATAAATCTTCTTTTGAAATAATCATTTCCTATAAAAAACCGAGGAGTGGTGCTGGAAGGCGTGTCTTTCTGTAAGAACCACGGGCAGAACTTTACAGGAGCGGAGCGAGATCAGACCCAKGTACCTGACAGGCTTTTATCAGTGATTTACTCAAACTCAGGGGGATCAGGAGAAGCARGTGATTGGCTAATGAGGCCGTCAGGGTTGAAAGGGTCTGAAACTCATGAGTTCYGTTGTAACTCTGATGAGATGAGACCGATCTGCGCTGCCGATCGGACCCCTCACAGGTGAGACGTTTCGGTGTGCGCACCTGGGACCCCAGCCAATCAGTTAATCTCTGAGTCAGGGATTACCTTTACGAAGCTTGGCTGGAGGAGTGCGGGGGAGGTTTCATCTTTCTGCTGCGTGTCCTGATGTGAAACTGACATTTACAGCATGTGCACAGCAAATGACTCAGCTTGTTTAAACTTGCACATGACTCTCCTACTTATGCTTTTTATTACCTGTTTGATCAGCCAGTCCCAATTTTATCTTTATCTGATTCACCACTCACACTACTGTTCAGCTGGTTTTCTTTCTCCTGGTGTTATTTGTGATCCAACTACGGTACTTACACATATTTTTGCGTTATTTTACTCTTCATAAATCAAATTCAAACTTCTACGTTTACTGTGACGATTTATTAATTCATCTCCTTTAGATGCTTTAACTTTAACTAAAAGCAATGTTTTTGCTAAAATTTGTGAAAAAAGTTCAGGTCAAGTTTTTTTGCTCAAGATTTGAATAAAAGAGGAAGTGAAGAGGTCTACTGGTGCATTTAGACGTTTACATGTAAATAGAAACATAATTAGATAATTATTTTGTGAGTCTGCTGGATTATTGTGTCCAGAACATTTTCCCTTCTATAAATAAAACAATTCATGGGTGTTGCATCAATTAAGCTTTAAACTTTTAACAATAATAAAGAATATTCTCTTTAAACCACATTTAGAAGCCTCATGTGGATTAAAATAAATCCTTTAACAACTAAACTATCACCTATTAAAAACATAATTCGTGTACCAAATACACAAACACATGTCAGCCTGATCGCCTGCAGCCAATAACGAAAATAATTTCATAAATATTTTACCAGCAGTTTAGTAAAATAGGTCATGACTCTCCAGTCAAAGTGGGATTAACCTGAAGAGTTTATATGTAAACTGAAGCTTTAACATTAACTAAATAAACTGCTGTCAGTGCAAACATCTCTTAATCCCCCAGCTCCTGTTTACTGAGTTTTACTGCAGGAGTCATAAAAAAAGGAAATTATGCAGGGATGTTTTAGTTCTGGATCAGATCCAAAGCCTCTGAATTAGTAAAAATAAATAAAGACATAAACAAATAAATAAATAATAATAATTTTTTAAATAAAAAAAACACAAGCAAAAATTAGTATACTTGAAGTTCATTTTAATAAACATACTTCAGTATAAGTTTAAGTATATCAAGTATTAGGCACCATGTACTAGAAGTGTACTAGAAGGTATAATGATTTAATACTTGTTTATTAAATTTGGACTTTTTTCTTTATAAAAAGCGTACTTTAAGTATACTGTTTTAGTGCATTTTTAACTTTATAAACTTACCTAAAAAGTATACTTTAAGTACATGTCATTAGGTATACTAAAGTATATAGAAGTGTATTTCCCTAAGTGTACTTTTATTTACCATGTACTAGCATAGACTAGCAGTTTACTAACAAGTACAGGCCTTCCTCTGGGACGATACTGACCCACAATAAGTTTATGAAAGTATACTTAGAAGTATACTGACAGTAAGGTAATCTTCTTAGTATACTTTTAGTTTAATCTTGAAATATACTACAAATAAACCAGTCTGTGTGAAAAAATGTACTTTCAGTGTACTACTAAAGCTTTTATTGGCCAAAAGTTTAAACATTAGAATAGAGTAAGTATACTTACACTTTTAGTATACTTTTACTATGAGCCAACTAGTGTAAAATAAACTTGGTTAAGTATATCTCAGATAAGTAAAGTAAACTGGTATAGTATACGCTTTAAGTTTTAGTTTGAAATTAGTATACTTAATGAATACTTGCATATACTACTTTTTGCTAAAGATACAAACAAAGCAAGACTGATGAAGTAGATTTAAAAAGAACAAAGTTTTCCAAACATTTTGATAAGAAATAAATGTTTAAGATTTCAGTTATAAAAGTATAAAAGTTACAAACAAAATCATGTCCTGAATGAGCTGAAATTGATCGATGTTAAATATTTATGGTTTGTTTTAATTCATTCATTCATTATTTTATCTTACCTTGTGTGAACCCTGGATCAGCCTCCTCACCACCTCCTTGATGTGGGGTCCCGGCTCTTTGGGGGGGTGGGTGAACACGGACACCCGGGTCACCCCCTTGTACACGCCGCTGCTGGCCGGCCAGCCGATGTCCAGAGACGGCGCCTCCGTGTCGGACATCTGGGGCCAGTACGTGGAGTGGACCCCGGAGTCCGCGCTGGAGGCCCGTCTGGGCTGCTCGGGCTCCCCGGACTCCGAGTCGCTGTCCGCGCTGTACTCCTGGAAGCTCTCGCGGATGGAGCTGACCTCCCTGGAGCACAGGAAGTCCTTGGTGTTGTCCTCCGCGAGGCGCGTCTGGAAGGCTTCGTCCCCGTGCCGCAGCAGCTGCTCCACGGCCGCGCGCTGCTCCTCGCTGTAGTAGAACTCCGGGCTGGACTCCGGGACCTTCTCGTTCACGTGCTCGTTGTCCATGCARACCAGCTGGGACTCCGCCATGGCCACAAGTTACCCCCTCCAGCCGCTTGCTCCAAATACCGCTGTTCAACCGCTCTCACCTGTGCGGACAGGTGAGGGAGGAGCTCAGGTAGGAGCAGGGGGCGGAGCTAAAAGGCCAACATAAAGCGCCCCGTGTTGATGAGGAGTTTCCTGCTGGGAAACAAACCTTCAGAGTAAAAGTCTGGAAGTATTCAGACCTTCACTTTCTGCAGTTTTTTGTTCAATTTCTACATTTTTGTTTTCTACACTCAGTATCCCCAAAATAACAAGTGAAATCATGCATGGATGGATGGATGGATGGATGGATGGATGGATGGATGGATGGATGGATGGATGGATGGATGGATGGATGATTGATGGATGGATTATTGATAATGGATGGATACATGGATGGATGGATGGATGGATGGATGGATGGATGGATGGATGGATTATTGATAATGGATGGATACATGGATGGATGGATGGATGATGGATGGATGATGGATGGATTATTGATAATGGATGGATACATGGATGGATGGTGGATGAATGGATGGATGATGGATGGATGGATGGATGGATGATGGATGGATGGATGATGGTTGGATACATGGATGGATGGTGGATGGATGGATGGATGATGGATGGATGATGGATGGATTATTGATAATGGATAGATGGATGGATGGATGATGGATGGATGGATGATGGATGGATTATTGATAATGGATGGATGGATGGATTATTGATAATGGATGGATGGATGATGGATGGATGGAGGATGAATGGATGGATGGTAGATGGATGATGAATGGTGGATGAATGATGGATGGATGGATGGATGGATGATGGATGGATTATTGATAATGGATGGATGAATGATGGATGGATGAATGATTGATGGATGGATGCAGACAGGATTATAAAGATGAACCACATTTAATCAAGAAATAAAAACTTTCTATAAACACAGTGAATATTTCACATTTAGCAGAAGCCARTAATTTAGAAAGTTTTCTAAACGCTGAACTTAAATGTGAGTAAAAAATAAGTTTTATAACCTCCCTGCAGCACATGTAAAACAGGCAGCATAGTTTACTCAGACAGAAGTGAAAGTATTTAAAATATCTGAAAACAGAAACCTCTAATTAAATAAACTCAGATTTTAGAGTCAAAAATGACTTATTGAATCTTCAGTTTCATAACTTCAAGTTTATTAAGTAAAATGTTGCTCTGTTTGGTGTTTATCCATGTAAAACTTCAAAACTTTCTTATAACTTTCTGAGAAATGGAATAAKATACTCCAGAAGTAAAAGTATTGTATCCAAAGATTTTATTGTTTGTAAAATACCTCATAGCAAACATAATTCAATAAAATGTCATATTTTAAATAAATCCCAATTTGATCAAAATCAATTTGTGCAGAAAATTAAAGTAAAAAAATGATAAAAAGCACATTTTCRCCTCTTGTTGTATCATTTGAAATAAAAGTAAAATAGCATATGAAAAAAACAGCTGAGTAAAAGAAACCTTTAACTTGTATTTAGGTGCAGCATCACCTGTTACAGGTGGCTCAACAGCTTTAAAGAACAAATCTTCTCATTTTAGCTTTCAGCTTTTCTGACTCGTCACGGAACAAAATAACATAAAAATACAAAAAGTAACACAAAACAGAAGACCCTAAATAAATACGAAAATTAAACGTGATGAAGGAAGTTGTTTTTCAGTCGTTTCCCATCATCGGATTTAAATGTGAAATAAGTGATAAAAATATTATTTTAAAAGTCAGAAAGCTGCAGGAAGTTACAGATCTGTGCTTTTGCTGTGAGAACGGAAACAAATGAGCATTAAGAGTAAATTCKTCAGCAGCTTGGCCAGCAACATCTGAAAGATTACTGCCGGCACACGCGTCGTAAAAAACAGTAAAAAAAAAACATTCCACCTGTGCCACCTGCAGCACTTCCTGTTCAGGAGGCTCCTCTGTAAAGAAATGTTCTGAGCTGAAGGAGCCCCGCTGCTGTGTGGGGGTGGCTCTTCGTACAGTCCTCTGCAGTGGACTCGTGCACCGGCGGGGCGGTTGTGTGTAGTAAAAAGCACCATTGTGTTTCCTCACAGCTGTATTGTGTAATTTGCAGGAAACAAGCCGCTTTTCCCCCGCAGCCTCCCCGTCCACCAGGCGCGGTCGGAGCGATCCAGCACCTCGATGATGTCGCCGGCGAAAAACTCCAGCTCGTCCCCTTCCTCTGCTTTGAAGTCGTAGAGCGCCTTCACCTGCACCGTGGAGGGAAGCAAACTCTTATTGGTGGACGCCCGCTGTGGGAGGGAAACAAAGTGTTATTAACGCCAGAGTGCCTTCTTTACAGTCAGAAACAAAATAAATAGATCCGAAATCCTGCAGAGTCACTTTGAACCAAGGCTATAATAGTTTTGGATTTTTCATTAGAGTTTAGTTTTACTTCATTTTGACTTTTTTCTTTCAGTTTTAATTAGTTTTTAGAGTGGATATGATAGTTTTTTTTAGTTATTATTGCATTTTTAATGCTTAGTTTTAGTTTAGTTTTTTTAGTTCTAGTATTAGTTTTTTTGAATAAACATATTTGCCAATGCATCCTTATGCTTGTGATGTTCCTGTGAGCAGGGGTGCCACTAGGTTTTAAGGACAAGGGGGGCTTAGCCCCCAGGAGATGCACAGAATTTTTGTATATTCTAAACTTGTATTGTGTGTGTATGTGTGTGTATGTGTGTG